AAGGTCCAACAGTAGTGTAGTAATTTTTATTAATTTTAGTTAAAAACACAAAAGATCTCACTCACAGGTTAATAGGAGTAAAACAGGCTCATTTATTTCCCTAAAATGGCATTCTGTTGTTACTTCCAGGCCTTAATTTGAAGTGAGCGCTCACTTTGGCTGGTGATGGCAATCTGTCTGGCTGTTTTGGATGAAACTGAAGCACTATCAATGAAGTCACAGTGATTCACACAAACTCCATTGTGGACTGTAGTATTGGGACTGTTTATTGAAGATTATTTACACTCACATAATTATTGATTTATGGCAGTTTTGAATATTAATATATTTGTTAAATATTTATTTATTTATTAATTGAATAGTGTAGATGGTTGTGATAAAGGGCAGTACAGCACTACATTCATAGATATATTGTATTCATTCATGACAGTTTACTTACTACTGTGATGCTGTGATTGGCTACAGCTAATCACATGGTACAGGGTGCCAGGTACCATGTTATAGCTGTGGGCCAATCACAGAAATACAATGGCAAGCAAGCTGTCATGAATGGAAGCCATCCATGACAGTATTGCTTACATTGCAATCCTGTGATCGCTATGATTGGGCATAGCAATCACATGATATCTCAGCCACTCACAGGGGGAGCACTAGTGCGCATGTGCTAGGTGACATATGGATACTTCACCTAGCCTGTAACTGCCACCTGCCCACAGTAAGTATACTGCCACCAGCCGGTAAGTGGTTAAAGCTGGATAGGTAAAAACAGGTAATAATAATTACAATAATCTATTGTTTTGTTTTACAGTATAAATAACAACAAAATAATGTATGAATATTAATAAGCAGGGCTGTATGAGTAATATGACGCTGAACATAGCAGTTGTTATATCTATGCTTATATAATAATAATAGTCAATATTCTCCTAAAATTATCCATACACATCCACTACTTAATGGCACTGTAATCTATTTTTCATGAAATCATGTTTTATTGTGTTTTTCTGTTTCTTTGTAATGTCCTCCATGAGCTCCCAAACCTCTCTCCCCCCCCCCCCCCCCCCCCCCCCCCCCTGCTTCTGTTTGTTTGGAACAAGCAATGCACGTTAGTTGCAGTCATACACACTGCTCTATGCACTCTACAAATTCCATGGTCCATAGTTTATCTCAGGAGTGAGCAAGAGAGATCACAGCAAGTAAAAAGAAAAAGACATTTAGAGATTTGGAGCAGGCTGAAGGCAATAGATAGTACTTTCTGAGTTCAGAATACATACTTGACCATTGTTAGTCACTTTGGAAAAAATCTAGGTGGTAAAAATTCTACAACTGTAGTATGGAAAATATCCAGAAGATGGCAGCAAAATGCTATTTTCTGAATGTGATAACGTTTCTCAATCCCCACATACCTTCTAACATTCTGCTAAAACATTGTAACTACTACCTGGATCTTGAAGAAGGGACAATCCCCGAAAGCTTGTCCTCAAAATTGTATGTTAGTGCAAATAAAAAAAAGTATCACGGACAGTACTCAATTGTTTCTAAATGTGATAAGAAAGCATTTAAATGGCTCCTACTCTTGTGGTTCAATTTTTTTCACTATACTTTTCCGATTAACTTTTCTGTTTTGTTTTTATTTCTTGTTTTAAGTGCATTTTTCAGTAGCTAATCATTGCTTGACATGAATGTCTAGTTGCACTATAGAGGCTCACTGTCTGCTGCTATACATATATATAGTCCTCCTCCAGTACTGATCTGAATTTTACTTTAGTCATTTGGTGTTCTTGAATAACAAGTACTGAAATAAAAACTCAACAAAGCTGATATAGTTAGCATGCATTGTTTTCAACCTTCCCCAGACTGGAAGATTTGCATTGTGAGGCACTACAAAGCACAGCCTGCATAGGTAATGAACAAATATGGTCACCTTACTATTATTACAGGTACTTATATAGTGCTGTCAATTTACGCAGCGCTTTGCACTGCTGAAAAATACTAAAGGAACACTTTGAAAACCCATCAGATCTCAATGGGGAGAAATCTCCCGCTGGATATCTGTAATGATATGGACTGGGTAATGTGTTAGGAACATAAGGATGCCCCATCATTTGATGGAAATGAAAATTATCAACCTACAGAGGACTGAATTCAAAGACACCCCGAAAATCAAAGTGAAAAAATTATGCAGCAGGCTAGTCCATTTTGCCGAAATGTCTTTGCAGCAACTCAAAATGGTCCTCAGTAGTTTGTATGGCCCGTACGTGCTTGTATGCATGCCTGACAACGTCGGGGCATGTTCCTAATGAGACGACGGATGGTGTCCTGGGGTATTTCCTCCCAGATCTGGACCAGAGCATCACTGCGCCCCTGGACAGTCTGAGGTGCAACCTGGTGGCGTCAGATGGACCGAAACATGATATTCCAGAGGTGTTCTATTGGATTTAGGTCAGGGGAGCATGGGGGCCATTCAATGGTATCAATTCCTTCATCCTCCAGGAACTCCCTGCATACTCTCTCCACATGAGGCTGGGCATTGTTGTGCACCAGGAGGAACCCAGGACCCACTGCACCAGTGTAGGGTCTGACAATGGGTCCAAGGACTTCATCCCGATACCTAATGGCAGTCAAGGTGGCATTGTCTAGCCTGTAGAGGTCTGTGCGTCCCTCCATGGATATGCCTCCCCAGACCATCACTGACCCACCACCAAAACAGTCATGCTGAATGATGTTCCAGGCAACATAACATTCTCCACAGCTTCTCCAGACCCTTTCACGTCTGTCACTTGTGCTCAGGGTGAACCTGCTCTCATCTGTGAAAAGCACAGGGCCCCAGTGGCAGACCTGCCAATTCTGGTGCTCAATGGCTAATGCCAATCAAGCTCTATGGTGCTGGGCAGTGAGTACAGGGTCCACTAGAGGACGTTGGGCCCTCAGGCCACCCTCATGAAGTCTGTTTCTCATTTTTGGTCAGAGACATTCACACCAGTAGTCTGCTGGAGGTCATTTTGTAGGGCTCTGGCAGTGCTCATCCTGTTCCTCTTTGCACAAAGGAGCAGATACCGGTCCTGCTGATGGGTTAAGGACATTCTACAGCCCTGTCTAGCTCTCCTAGAGTAACTGCCTGTCTCCTGGAATCTCCTCCATGCTCTTGAGACTGTGCTGGGAGACACAGCAAACCTTCTGGCAATGGCACGTATTGATGTGCCATCCTGGAGGAGTTGGACTGCCTGTGCAACCTCTGTAGGGTCCAGGTATCACCTCATGCTACCAGTAGTGACACTGACCCTAGCCAAATGCAAAACTAGTGAAAAACAGTCAGACAAGATGAGTAGGGAAAAAAATGTCAGTGGCCTCCACCTGCAAAACCATTCCTGTTTTGGGGGTCATCTCATTGTTGTCCACCTGGTGCACCTGTTTTTAGTAGCAGCTGAAACTGATTAACAACCCCCTCTGCTGCCAAACTGACCAGATCAACATCCCAGGAGTTTCATTGATTTGAAGCTATACTCTGATTAAAAAGAGTTCCTTTAGTGTTTTTGAGCAGTGTATATATACTGTATATTGTACATTCACATCAGTGCCTAACCCTCAAGGAGTGTATAATCTATGATCCCTAACTCACATTAATACTAGGGCCAATTTAGACAGGAACCAATTAACCTACTAATTAAGTGTTGGAGTAAACCCACACAGGCACAGGGAGAACATGCAAACTCCTGGCAGGTGGTGCCATGGTTGGGATTTGAACCAATGATCCTAGTACTGACAGGTGGAAGTGCTAACCATTTAGCCACTTTGCTGCCCCATTAAAGTATAACTAAAGGTAAAACTCTTATTATTATTATTTACTTTTGGATAGAGTGGAGAGGGATTAGAACCCCTGTTAATTTTTGTTTATATTTATGACTGAGTTCCCATTAGGAAGAGGCAGGAATAGAGGGGAAATCTTTCACTGGGGACACTAGTTCTCAACCAGGGATTCCCTCACTTTGGAGGGATTTCCTCTCACATCCTGTTTCAGTCATGGGACAGGAAATGAAGGGAAATCTCCCCAATGGGATACAGTTGGCAAAAAAAAAAACCTGTACAAACAAATGGCAACCACCCCAACCTATAACTAGCCTTTGCAGCAGGGAGCACATGGAAGGGCAACACACATAAAAAAAAAAATCTGCAATATTGACGGATTTGGCAAACTTAGGTTGTTGCGTGCCCAATTTTCTTTTTAGAGTAATTGAAATGTACGCTGAGTCAAAACATTTTTTTCCTGATTTCCTTTAGGAAAAAAAGGAAGTGATAGAACCCGTCAGACTTTTTTTTCTGTCTGTGTCCCTTTAACTGATTTTTTTCTCACTTCCTTTGTAGTGAAACTATTGTCAGCAGGACGGGAACTGAGAGCAAATCTCCATAATGGACCCACAGAGCGCAGTAAAAAGAAGTTTTAATCCATTCTGCAGACAATTACACAAAACTTAGATTAACAGACAACACTCTTTTGGTTGATGCCTATGGGGGCCAAAAGATGCTTACAATGATCTTTTTAAAAAAAAAACATTCCAGAGAACAATACCAGCAATACCTCTGAAAAATAATGTCCATGAAATTTCCTAAAATGTTACCAAATTCCTAAAATCGGACTGGTAATGTCATGCTGCCCGGCCAAGTAAGTACACAATGTCTGTTTATCTTTCATGATTATGACATGACTGGAGGACACTGTGACCCTGGGACCTGATGCCACCAGTCTTGGCTGAGAATGAAAAAATAAAAGATGAGAAATAACTCCACAATCATACGCCAGAGGGCAGCGTTTAATAAAAAAGAGGTTTCCAACAAAAAATGTTGAATACAACATAATGAATACTGAAAAATATAGATTAGAAATGTCACAGCTATGGGCTCAGATCAAGGCTGTACAGCGGGTATAGAAAAGAATTACCCCCCTTTAACCACCTTCCGCCCGCCCTATAGTACAATGACGGGCGCAAGGTGGTTCTCTCGTTCTGATATGACGTCCTTCCATTCTCACCGCGCATGCGTGGCTCAGAGAGCGCGTATTGCGGCGATCACTGGTGCGCTGTGTCCCTCGGACACAGCAGATCACAGAAAGAGCCAAAGATGTCAGCTCGGTCATGTGATCAGCTGTGTCCAATCACAGCTGATCACATGTAAACACGGAAATGCCAGTTATCGGCATTTCTCTCCTCTTGAGCTGTCACGCTGACAGCTCGAAAGAAGAGTAGAGCCGGTAATCTTCTTTCTGCGGAGGGGACATGTACACTGATCATCAGGGCACTGATGATCAGTGTGCCCTGATGATCAGTGTAGCCCCAGCAGTGCCACCTGTCAGTGTCCATCAGTGCCAGCAGTCAGTGCTCATCAGTGCCACGTGCCAGTGCCCATCAGTGCCACATCAATGCCACATATCAGTGCCCATCTGAGCTGCCTTTCAATGTCACCCATCAGTGCCAGTCAGTGCCGCCTAACAGTGCCAGTCAGTGCCACCTATCAGTGCCATATATCAGTGTCATGTATCAGTGCTGCCTTTCAGTGCCCATCAGTGATGCCTGTCAATGCCCATCAGTGCAACCTGCCAGTGCCTCCTCATCAGTGCCCATCATTGCCACCTTTCAGTGTCCATCAGTGCAGCCTATCAGTGCCCATCACTTCAGCCTCATTAGCACACATCAGTGAAGGAGAAAAATCACTTATTTACAAAATTGTATAACAAAAACTAAGAAAAAATGTTTTTTTTTTAAATTTTCAGTGGTTTTTGATTTTTTGTTTAAGAAAAAATAAAAATCCCAGAGTTGATTAAATACCACCAAAAGAAAGCTCTGTCTCAAAAAAATGATAAAAATTTCATATGGGTACGGTGTTGCATGACCGCGCAATTGTCATTCAAAAAGTGACAGCGCTGAAAGCTGGAAATTGGCCTGGGCAGGAAGGGGGTATAAGTCCCTGTAGGCTAGTGGTTAAAATAAATCACATTTTGTTGCTTTGCAGCCTGAAATGAAGACAGACACAGTTTTTGTTTTATCCATGTGTATTTTCGTATGCAACTTATAACATCCAAGTGAAAGATATAACACCAACATTAAAAATGAATTCATTCCCAATCTGTGGAAAACAGCACAAAAACCAATTGTGCTCCACATATATTAACATTTTTAAAGGGCTGTCTTAGCAAGCTGGCAGTGCCCTGGGGCCCCTGACTGTAATGACTATTTTATCACTTTTTTTAAAATGCTTTAGCTAGGTGTCTCATCACACAGCAGAAGCAAAAGAATATTATATCACGTCCGTTTTCAATGCAAAATAATGTCATCACTTTCACGCCTACAAATCATGTAGTGTTTCAATTTTTTTGTCTAACCTCTGTACCGGAGACAAGGCATTTTGCCTTGTCATGTGGTAGGACTGTAATCGAATAGCCACCCAACACAGTCCTACCACATCTGTGGTGAGTATACCTTACCCACTTGCCACCCACCCACAGTAGTTATATTGAGGGTGGGCGCACAGGCAGGCCAGACAATGTATGTCGCCACCTTTCTTCTGGGTTTTTGGGGCTCACATGCATGCCCCATGCCCCATGCCATCCCATGCTGTGATCGGACTCAGTACAATTTATTCAACAGGTTTCAGCCAATGATTTTGGCAGAAACCTGCTGATCGGCTGTGTCCACTCACAGCACAGAGTTCTGTGTTTACAAACACACAGAACTCTGTACACTGACAGGCATCTGGCTGTGTCTTCTCCCTGACATAAACTCTGAGTTCAGGGAAAAAAAGCAGCCAGGTCTGTTAGTAAAAGCAGCACACATTACACCCATTACACTTGTTAACCCCTTGATGTCAACCCCTTCCCAGCCAGTGTCATTAGTACAGTTGCAGTGTACAGTATTATATCTGATCACTGTATTAGTGTCACTACTGATGTCAGTGTTAGTTAAAATCAATTTTATTGAAAGTACTAAGAAATATATGTTCAAATCTATCAACTATATATACTTTAATTTTTGAGAGTAGGAGCATAAATTGGGGCAGGCTTGTAGGAGCTCCAGTGCATTACTTTGCCCTGGAACCCATGATGCTATTAAGATTGCCCTCTGTCAGGAATGGACTTACCAATAATGGTGGGACTCACCTGCCTTGTGGGCTGCAGTACCAGGGCTGGCCAGCGGGTGCTCTCAGCAATCAGAGACTCAACCCTGCAGTCAGCCAAGACACCTAAGGCTAATCACAGGTGTATTTAAGGGATGGCCAGACCTGCAGTCTGGGCCTTGGTGTGTGTTTTTCCATGGGCCCCTGTATCTTGTTACCTGCATTCCTGTTCCTGTTCCTGTCTGACTGATTTGTTGCCGACCCTGCCTGATCCGGACCTCTGCTGACTTCTCCTGTTTGATCCCTGGCTTGTGACCCCGACCATTCTCTGCCTGACCCCCTGTACCTACCTGCCCGTTAGTTGCTGTACCTGGCTCGTGACCTGACTACTCTCTGCCTGCTCCTCCTGTTCCTACCTGCCCGATTGTTATTGACCCGGCTTGCCTGACGACGCTTGCATTGTATGTATTGTTATCTGTGGGTGGTTTGGTTTGGTTCGTTGGCACTGTGTTATGTTTTAGTATTGCACTGCGTTTATGTATTGTTAGTATTAATAAATTATATTGTTTATAACATATCTGAAGCCTGCGTTTCCCTGCGTCAGTTCACATACCTCTGGTCATACCCGGAGCCCTGACACCCTCTCTAGCCTGACATTTTGACACTTTCAGTCTTTTTTAAATCGAAAAATTAACACATATGATTCCTTTCTGACACCAAGAATGAGATTACATTACCCTCTGAATGGTATCAGACATATGGGGAGGACCTGACCACATTGTCTTTTCAACTCAGCATTCGAGAATAGACTACTTCCTGATACCATGAATGAGGCTCTAACAGAATTAATATCCAAGCCTGACAAGGACTTGCTACAGTGGGGGTCGTATCGTCCCATATCACTACTTAATAGTGATGTTAAAATATCAACCAAGCTTCTAGCCACCAGTTTACAGAAAGTGATCCTAACCCTAGTGCCCCCGGACCAGTCTGGGTTCATGCCTGGAAAGAACACATTTGACAATATACGTTGCCTGTATTCTGCACATTTTTAGGGCTGCTGCTGAACGGTGGAGTGGCTTGGTGCTGTCTGGATGGGCAAAAAGCCTTCGATACAGTTCGATGGCCATTTTTATGGGAAACAATGTCTCAGATGGGTTTTGGTTCCAGGTTTGTTCGCTGGGTACAACTATTGTAAGCTAATCCCAGAGCCCGTGTCCGTACAAATAGGGACGTGTCTCCAGCCTTGACTTTGTATAGGGGTACGAGGCAGGGTTGTCCCCTTTCAGCTTTTCTGTTTGCCCTGGCCATTGAGCCTTTGGCTCTGGCAATTTGGTTTGCTGGAGGAGAAAATCTTCTTGTATGCAGATGATGCACTGGTATATTTGGATGGTTCTGCGGAGTCATTTTCTGGTCTTATGTGCGTGGTGGAGGAGTTCGGGGAGGTGTCAGGCGTTACCCCTTAATTTAATTGGAAGGATTAACATTTTCAAGATGATATATTGCCAACATGTTTATATGTATTTAGGGCCTCTCCAAATTTTTGTCTCCCTAGAAAACTATTTCAAACAATTGACTCTGTTTTGACTTCTTTCTTTTGGAATGGATCACACTCGCAAGTGGCTAGGTCATCACTTCAGGCATCTAAGGTGGATGGGGGCTTGGCGTGCCCTAACCTCCACAACTATTTTATTGCCTCTCAACTTGTTTATGTGTATGATCGGTTTCATGACTTCTCTCTCTCCTCCTCCACCATTCTCCTGTCTGCCCAGCATGGTTCTGCAGCCTCCCTTTGGGAAACTCTGCATATGTCTATTGTTTCCCAGTGCTCCCACCATTCTCCAATAGATACTAGCTGGCTGGCCTGGCAGGAGGGGGGCAAGGTGTTATCCCCATCTCCTGGGATCAAACTACTGTACCCTGTGGCCAGGGGCGGACTGACCATTTGGAAACTCGGGCACTGCCCGAGGGCCCGGGGTCAGTAGGTGGCCCCATGAGATGCCCCTGGTACCTTTTTCATAGGCTTTTTTGAGTTTGGGCAAGGACACAGGGGCCCCATGATCCCTTATTGCCCGGGGGCCCCATGAGTTGTCAGTCCGCCCCTGCCTGTGGCACAACCCTAATATACCTGAGCTTCTAGGTCACCCTGAATTTCTAAATACATTTTTGCTGCTACGTCATGCTATAAGGGCACAATTTGGGACTCTAATCCTCGAGCTTTCGGAATCGTCCCTGGAAATGTTATTGTCAGACATGGATATTGATAAGCTGGTCATTACATTTTATTCCCATCTTCAGGCAGCCTGGACTAACCCTTTTCATATTGCTCATTATAAGAGGAAGGCGGTGCTTCCTGGGCTGCTTGAAGAGGGTTGGGAGGAGGTGGCAGATGTTTGTTTCCAAGATCTCATAAGCACTGCTGATAGGTTTACTCAATTTAAGTTCATCAACCATCTTCATTACACCCTGGCTAGGTTGGCCTATATGATCTGCAACCTCTTGTCCTCATTGTGGCCTTGGGGGTACATGTTTTGGGCCTGTCCAGCTCTTGCTTCATACTGGCAGGACCTCTTTACTTTTTACTTTTACTATGGAATTTTTCTATATGTAATTGACACTGTTCTTTTAGATGGGCTCAAGGTAGCTCCTTTTTACTGCTTTTGCCCCTTTTTATGTAACCTACATACTGAAGATAACTATGACTAACTATCTCTACAAATATTTGACTGCTGTAAGGGGGGTCAGCTGTGGAAATGTGTTGTTACAATGCTATTAAGTGCTCAGTGACATCTTAGCCCCTAGTGCCCATACGGTCCATTGGGACCTTTGTGTGGTACTTGGACCCCAACAGTCATTGTTTTCCTTTCCTAGGAGTTTACCTGGGGAGAGTGAAGGAAAATATTCATTAAACTTATTTTTACTAGCTAAATTGTTTAGCTGTTTTCTTTTAATATTATTATTATACAGAATTTATATAGCGCCAACAGTTTGTGTAGCGCTTTACAATAAAAGGGAGGAAGTGAGTTTTCAAAGATTGCCTAAAGGCAGACAGGGTGGGGGCTGACCAGACATGCTGTGGTAGAGAGTTCCAGAGGATGGGAGAGGCTCTGGAGAAGTCCGGGAGGCGAGCGTGGGAGGAGGTGATGAGGGAGCTAGAGAGGAAGATATCTTGGGAGGAGCGGAGTGGTGGGCGTTTTGGGCGGTAATCTGTGGATGAGGTTGGCGATGTAGCTAGGGGCAGTGTTGTGATGGCTTTTTAAGCTGTGGTTAGTATTTTGAATTTTATAACGTGGGTTTAGTGGAAGCCAGTGAAGGGATTGGCAGAGAGGGGCAGCAGTCACTGATCGGTTGGTAAGGTGTATGAGTCTAGCAGCAGCATTCACTGAAGGGGGGATAGCCTGTGTAACGGTAGACCAGTGAGGGGGAGTTGCAGTAATCAAGGCGGAATATAACCAAGGTGTGGATAAGTTGTTTTGT